GGTTGTTTCACAAACGTAAATCTAATGAAATGCTCGAAACCGATTTATCAGTGACTGAACATAGCGTGAAAAAAAATCATTATTTTATTATTTACAATTGGGAGCGCGGAGTGAGGAACGAGGAGTACATCAACAAGGAGACTTTAATTACATCCAAGGAACCAGGAAAACACACGTTGTAGGAGAGGTTGACATACAACACCGGACCGAGATCTCAAAACAGGAAACACTTTAAATACACATGACTAGAGGATGGGATGACGAGACACACCTAATAATTCTTACATTATATTGCTAATGGCAAGCATTTTTTTTTTTTGCTTCTGGCTGTGTGGCTTTCATCCACTCCAAATACATCTGGGAGTTTGTATGCAATCTAATTTGAAAGAATAATTGATAAAAATACATTTTTAGAAAAGATAAATATAGTATAGTAAGCATAGTACTTATAAAAAGAAAAAAAGAGAAAACATCTCATCTGTTTTTATCTGTTTTAAACATCTTCTTATGGTTTATATTGCAGTGTCTGCATATCTTCTGCTCTCTCCAGGATTTTTGATGTGTTTCTCTCTCAATTTCTAGATCAAGTCCATATTTTCTGAGGATTTTTCTTTTGTTAAATTGTTAAAAGTTAATATATATATTAAAATGGCCTCGGGGTCTCTGATCAGTGCATGAGAGTTAAGAGGGAGTGAAAGGGTTCAGAGGTTGTGATTCTTTCTTAACTAACTTGTGATTCTTTCCTAACTAACTTGGTCAAGTCTCCAAATTTCTTACCATAATTTGTTTCTCTTCTTATTTAGACAACTTGCAACTCTGTGGTGGAATGATCATTCTTGGTTTGAACAATCTGTTCTTCATATTTAGAGTGGAGGTCATGAGCCTAGACAGTTACAGATATCAGAGTCCGTCTGTTAGGCTGGCCTTGGCTTTTGCTGAAGCCACTTGGTTATACAGTAGAATCATTTTGTGAAGAAAAGGGGTTTGAACAGAGTATAAGCTACTTTTTTTTCCCTCTCATACTTTTTTTTTTCAAGTCTCATGACTTTTATCTTCTGAAACAGACACAGAGTAGCCGCTACTACTAACATGACTCAAAGTGACGGCTTGTTTGTCGCCCTGCTTCAGGGAAGAGGCCTGTTTTACACTAGGCAAAGCTATGAAAGGAAAATGAATATGAATATGCAAATGAAACCCATCATCTCAAACCTACCTAGACCTGTACAGGAAACACAGCAGCATCTGACAGAAGGAAATGGCCTTAATTATGTAAAATGTCAATGTGAGGGACCATGTGCTGCAACGGTGACTTATAATCACGGCTGCCCTCTGTCATTTGCTGTCTTCCGCCTTGCATTTGTGAAGCAAATGTAAGCACTGAGCCCTTCATTAATTATATAACTGTCTGTCACCTAATGTGATGCTGCCCATGTATGTTCTTTTTGGTTTCAAAGGTAATTAAGTCATGGTGGAAGTCAATCTCCCTTTTTGGGGGTGTATTGACTGTGCTAAATTCATTTTGGAAGTCAATTCAGAGAATTTTTTATTGTCTTTAGAGCACTAATTTGTAAATAATTTAGTGTGTTTCTTTGGCTGATGATACACGGGGCAACTTTTTGAGCTAATTTGCCGGCCAACTTTTTTTGAGCATTGTTGCTTGGGCAATTTCCCACTGAGAATGGGTAACAAATTTCCCAACAAATTTCTATCTGGATACTTTAGCCCTGTGCCTCACCTGGTTGCCCGTTGATGGAAACATTCAGCATAGTTGCCCCAAGTATCATCAGCCTTTGTTTGGTTACTTGGTAGAATAAATGGATACAATCTTCACCAAAATGCTCAATAAGAAGAACTGTGCCACTTTTTACTTCATGGTGTCTTCTAGAGGAGAAATGTCTGGAGAATGTCTGCTGTCAATTGATTTTAGAAGATTTTTTAAAAGAAAAAATGCTTAAAAAGTTTCTTTCTTCTTTTGATCACAAAATAAGTTATTTTGAAAAATGTTATAACCACTGACTGTAATAAATATATTTTCTTTTTTGGGTGAACTATCCCTTTAAAGGAAAGGTGTGCCGAATCAGTCGGGAAAACATTAAAACAATTTGCACATATTTTCTTTATTATTTATTTATTCATTTATTTATTTTTGTATATATTTAATCAGTGTAAAAATAAATGTATTAAAACAAAATACAAATAAAATATACACATTTATTTATATATATATA